GAGAATTTTGAGAATGTAATAGTACAGCTGTATTAGAATTTTCTATCAGAAAAACGCCAATGTTAATAAAGCCCGCGCTTGTGCGCCATCTAGCGAATATATCCGGTATTGCACCTAAAAATGTGCCAGACGGGATACCACATTCACTAATGGCAAAGTAGTCAGTAGACGCTCGTTAATGAGCTTGCTAGACGCTGGTCAGACCACTGATTGATTGACCGGAGTCTGCCTGAATGGTCAGTCTCTGCTAATACACTCACATCTCAGTGAATCAAGGCCAACATGTCTTGGAAAGGTGACCCCTAAAGGACGAGGATCATCTACACCAACTTCATAGGATCCATTTTGATGACCCACCATCCCTTAGAGGGAGGACCACCCATCTCCTGACCTTCTCTATATCTGATGACATCTGGATTATTTACATAAGGCACAATTAATATGCGCGTCCGGTGAGTGCGCATTACCTTATCACTATTTGCACTGGTACCGGATCCAGAGTCACTGCAGCACGACAGTCACTTTATCTTGTTTATATTGTCTACATATCGGAATTTACTTAATCATAGATGAGATGCATATATACTTTATCATTTATAGTTGCTTGGACAATATATATATATTTTAGCGCTGCACTTTCCTATTTATCAGTAATATACACCTGTTAGCATGGATTTAATTTAGCCTTTGATAGGAAAAATATAATTGTCTTGGGAACCATTTTATTTTTTATTCTATGGTTTATACATTGTTTATTTTGTTATTTTTTTTACTAAGTGCATAAAATATTTATTTTATAAATAAACATGATATAGGATTGACCCATGATAATTGTGTCACCAGACATTATAGAATTTCTAAAGAGACCCCATAAAAGAAGCTCTTTTCTATTAAATTGTCTCACTTTAATTGACATACAACCCAATCTAAACAGAGCAGTAAAAGATGGATGAATCAGTCATCAGATTCAGTTGTCCCTGTATATTAATATTTGTGCTTTGTTAGCAATGTTTTTCAGCAGTTAAGACTAGACAGGTAAACGTGAAAAAGGAGATTTGCAAGCTAGATAAAATGCCAAACAATCATAAGCAAAATATCCCATACCCCTAAAAAAGGAAACATATTATTTTCTAACTAAATCAACAAATATAAAGCACTAAAGATTCCCTTTGAGACTGATGTGAAAAAGGTAGCTCTAATATTTCCAAAAATGAAATTACGGTATATTTTTTCAGCAGTCCTTAAGACACAGATTTTTATAAGCAAGTCATTACTTAATATTTTTTAAGTTCCCACAAACAATAATTGCAAATGCCTTTTTTGTAATAAGCAATCACTAAACAGTAAATACAACATTTTCCTGTTTTTCCTTCTTATTTTAGCATTATATAGAGATATCAGTGTGGGAGCAGAATTAGCTGTGTTAGAATTAGTTATTCTATCATTTGCAAATGTGCATGTGCCCTCTGGGTTTCAGCGATGATACACACTCATGCCAAAGAGCAATGTTCTGCCTGCTGAGATGAATGTTGGATGAATAAATAAATGAGTGAAGTTATAAATATGCATGTTTAATACGAATAATAAATCATAATGATCAATACTATTTAATATACCACATTTGTAAAAGATTGGCACATGCATACAGGTGGCAAAGATACCATACCTTTGTTTAATCACTGGGATGACAATAACCTAATTTGTAGAAATCTTTTAGTTATATCAGTGAGATGTAGAAATCTAGAAAGAATCTGAACATATAATGAGTAGATGTAATGTTTGTAAACATTTGCTATTACACCATGACCCTAACGTTTAATAAGGCCTATTAGGGTCATTTCACTGGTGTACAGTAGGAGAATGGGATTGCAGCAGTGAAGGGAGTATTGTAGAGAGATTGAGCACCAATCAGAATGCTTAACCATTCATAAGAGTCACTATTAGTTTTCTTTAGAAAATGCACAGTACCTGGTAATATCAGTGAGGGGAACACGACAGTGACTGTTGAGAAAACCACTGGTATCTTAGGAAATGGTGTAAGCATAAGATCATAATATACGTATTGAAGAGAGGACCTATGTACTTTATTGCACAAGGGTCCTTTGCATTTATATACAGTATGTTACTGTTGAAGTATATTGATTTAATTTACTTATTTCTTAGCTGTAAGATATAGGCATAGATAAGCAAATAAACTGAAGTATTTTGTAATTCTGCTTTGATCATCTGTTTTGACTTAGTGTTACTTAACCCACAACAGTAAAATCAGTCTGTATATGCAGTAAAGCATGCTTGTTATACTAACTGTGGAACCTAAGGGGTTAATCCTCTGCACTGTTTAAAACGCATGTTTGATCCTCTCTTCTCTGATCCCCCCCCTTCTTCCAGTGTCTCCCTCTTATCTCCAGATAAGACATATTGTGTGGAGACACTGTACATTCTCAGTTTGGTATGTATTGCTACAGAGGTTTTTTTTTTTTGGGGGGGAGAGTGCATGTGATCAGCACAGGGCCAATCAGCACTGTCCAGACAGCGGTCAGGGGTTCTACATCCTCCTAGAGAAAACTCCTCCTACAAGCTTTAACCAGTGCTCTGCTAAGCACTGATAGAAGTCACAAATAACTGATGATGAGAAAAGGTATTTAGCAGTTTATATTTACTAAAATAATTGAATTTCCATGTTCTGTGTACTGTGGGAGGCCAGATATTGTTAATGCAGGGTCCTGGGTTTAGTTTTGTAACTAATTTATCTCTATTACAACCTCATGGCTGACCATCTTACATAGAGGTATACCTAGGTTGAGTGCAGCAAGGGTAGATTCCCAGGCCACAAAGAAGACAGGTTGCACCAAATCAATATAGAAAAAAAAAATGTTTCTGCATAAAATTAAATGCTAATTCCAGTTTTGACAGAATTGATATGTAAAAAAAAAAAAAAAGTATGGCCAAAGCTTTTGTGGCCGTGCTTCTCTTCTGGGTCACAGGAGTGCACTTACTTGTGCTCCCCTGTAACCAATAATCAGCCAATTGCAGGTTAAAGCCCTTTTTTGGCTGACATTACAGAGCCAGTCCAGACTCTGGAAAGATCTCAACAAAAGTGTTAAGATCCACCCAGAAAACTAACTAACAGTTGGCTCAGCCTATCAGCACACCACTGAGAGCCTGATTGAGTCACTCCTGCCCCTCTCTAGCCCGGCGCTCACACACAGAGGGGCAGAGCAGAAAGCAGTAATATTCCTCATATATTCCACCCCTGAAGAATGAATTTTACTTCTGAAATGCATTGGGTGTCCCCCTGTTCATCAAGTCTTACAAGACTGTATATAGGACAACAGGGGTTATGGAGTATTCATATTTGTGTTGTAAACATGGTGTGAGATGCTACGTAACTGAATAACACAGCCGTATTATGTTTTACTAAAGATTTTTTATCACGTTAGTTACTAATAAAGATAGTATAAACCATAGGCGGACTGACAACTCATGGGGCCCCCGGGCAATAGGGGATCATGGGGCCGCTGTGTCTTTGCCCAAACTCAAAAAAACCTATGAAAAAGGTACCAGGGGCATCTCATGAGGCCCCCTACTGACCCTGGGCCCCTCGGTAAGTGCCCGAGTTTACAAATGGTCAGTCCACCCCTGGTATAAACATTTTAATACAGTTCTGTTGTGTTTGGTTGACCTACAAAGTCTAATTTAAATGGATACTGCGCTAGGTGAACCCTTAAAACTTTATGAGCACTACGGAGACCTTCACACCACTGAAAAACTATCAAAAACTTTAAATAAAACACTGTAATAGTTTAAACTAAATAAGTGCATACATATGCCCTATGAAAACCGTCACCCCTCTGGAGGGCGATCAAAATTGAAAAAAAAAAAAGGATTGAATAAACTGAGTGAGTACAGTAATCATAAATATGTGTAAGAAACCGTGATAAGTGGTCATATTAACCTAAAATATCATGCATTATCTATGAGCCCTATGGAAGACCCTCACACCATGAAGAGTGATAGAGGTTGAGGATAGGTTAAATCTCAATGTGCAAAAAATTCACCTCAAATATACATAAAGGTTAGTACAAAAATTTTCAAAACAAACAAAATAACAAAAAGTCCATATTGACATAAACCATAGTCCATAAATATGAGAAGAAAATTCCACAATCAATGTTATTATTGTAGACAATGATGTAGGTGCAAATGTAGATAAACTTGCTTCAACTGGTCACCAGAGTGCACACCACCACCAAAGTAACGAATGGAGGCTTACCAGAAATGGAGACCCCTTAATTACAGGGGGTCCCAACCAGATTTATAATGTATTTATTATTACAGGTACTTATATAGCGCCATCAACTTACGCAGCACTTTACATATATATTGTACATTCACATCAGTAGAGCACTGGCAGGCTTCCCGATCACACCCCAAAACATGGAACTTCCCGGACTCAAACTCAAATGTAAACTCAAAGTGTAGTCCCAGACAAGGTCATGAAAGAAAAAACATGCCTCTCATAGTGCAATACGCATCAAAAAATGATTTATTTGCGCAAATAGGATCCTACTTATAAGCTGTAGAACGATTAAAAGTATTCACATGAACCATATCCAAGATGGCTGACGGCACGATAACGTCAAAGGGAGGCTCTGCCTGACATGTTTCGACATCAAAAGACGTTCTCTAGGGGCGACCTAAAAAGTCCCATGGGGAAAACTTTGTGTAGCGAAAGAGATGCACGTAGTACATTAAGTAATCTTTTATGCTACATAGTTTGAATCAACACAAATTCAACACAATCAGGTCACTTGAATGATGTTAAGAACATCAGTAACATATAAATCTACTTTCACATTTGCACATTTTTTTCATAATTTCTCAGTGAGAGAAGAGAGTCATGGATGGTTGTGTACCCAGTGGTCACACTCAATAGGAAGATATGATGAATGAGGAGGTGGGGGAGGTAAATTAGAAAAAAATAATCAATTAAAAGAAACAATGAAGCTATGAAGTTAATGTACAGAGGAAGAATAACTTGGAATTATAGAGTGCAGTTTGAGTTTACTTTGATATATAAAACCAGGATACAGTACATACACCTCTGATGGGTGGACAAGATGGCTTGAAGGTGGAAAGAGGTAAACAATCTACTCCAACAATTGCTAGGAATTGTTTTAGCATACCACTCCATATATCAGAAAGAAAGGAACAATCTGTCATTTCTGGGCTTGTTAAGGTAGGTTCCATGAAAACATGCCATCTGGTGACAAAACATTTGGTTGGGATAAAGTTCTTAAGCTTCAGTCCCAGCTTCCCTCTGTACATTAGGATTCTAAGCTCATTTTTTATATCTGAAATGGTTGATGCCTTAGGAGATATCCACTTCTGGAGTGTAGCGCTAGAAACCACCAAAAAACAACAATAAGTCAATTGCAGGTATTGAGGAAGTCTCCCAGATTTACCAATGGTACTGTGAGAAACTGGTGTGCCATAGCTGAGTAATAATAAAAAATGCATCTGCAGGGATAAGGCAGTTTGTGACCCCATATATGTAACTAGTGTGACATAATGAAAGGCAAGGTAACTGAGGGACACTATGTATTACCTTGCATGCTTTCATATGTAGGAGACTAAGGTGGAATTCAGTTTGGGTTTTCTGGGCCACTTGGCACTGTAGGATATAAGCAGAGTTTTGCTTCCCACTTGTGGCCAGCAACAGGTGGAATAAATAAGCAATGACTGGAGCAAGAGGTTGTTCTGGCCTGGAACTCAGGGAAGCTAAACCTGAGAGCGCTACATGTAGAAATTGCTCTGTAAGAGACAGGAAAAGGTTTGCAAAACACTTGTTTTTGTTTTTTTGGGGTTTTTTTTAGTGACTGTGAGAAGTCCTTCACATGTGTGAGAGGAATCTGTGCTGTTTAGTAGTGCTTGGATGTTAAGGATTTATTTTATGTTTTGCTTTGCTTTTTTTCTGTGCAACCTTTTAAATAAGCTGATTGCAATCAGAATTTTAAGAAAAATCCAGCTGTTGGACTACCTTTTTTCCAGGGAAGGTGATCCTCACTTGAGCTAATCCCCACACTAGCCACTTGGTCACATAGCACATTAAACTTACTGATGAAGCCTGTTTTTGGGTGGTGACATATCCAGACCTATGATGTTATTTTAATGTGCCATTGAACACTTGTTGTGCTTTACTGTTATGTGAGTGTCTTTATGCCATTTTTGTATTAAATTGTGTATATACAGAGACCTCTTCCTGCATTATTATCATTAAAATGACTACCCTCCCTAAATTTCTTCTTCTCAATTCCCTTACAATTCATATCCCATCGAGCTTTTTCTTCTCAGCCACTCCTCTATTTAATCAATTTATGTGGACACATACAGTAAATTTTCCCAGATCAAATGTCAGGTAATTACCTACCAGGAAATATATGGTGCAACCATCCTACCAGACCTATTTAGAAAAAACACACTGTTTGGCACTCGACAAGACTTAGAGACTGGAACAGATATGATACATCCAAGCTAAAAGTAAACCTAGAGCAACCAAACTCCATCCTACCTCTGAAAAGTCTACCCTGGTGAACTAGTTCAATATTGACACACCTAAAACCCATCAAACCATCAGTTGTATGTTAGCCACTTGCCTGAAAGAAAGAGCACATCTCCTGAAAACAATGTTATTATGTAAGAGGGAAGCACACAGGAAACGTGCTCCATTTTCTAGCTGCCTCTTTGACAGGAGTGATGGCAGTATCACTCCTGTCAGAAAGAGCCAAGGCCTTAATAGCTGATGCAGGGAAAATTGTGCTCTCTGTTCTCTCCAATAGAAGGCTACTGTGGGAAGAAGAGAGGAAGGTGTCCATTAAAAAAACACACCTTCTTCTCAGTACAGACTCCTCTATCACTGATATAGCTGTTTAGCCTCACACACTCCTACGCAGCTTTACTAAACTGTAAAACTTCTGGCCCACCCCTTTGACCGGCCTGCCCTTATCAAGGGTGCAGCATTTGAACCTGGCTAATAGAGAACACTGCTGCCCTTTTAGGTCAGACCAAGAGGCGGGCAGTCTGGTAAGATTCTCTCACAAAGGCAGGCTCCATGAGGTTAATGCAGATACGTTATCTAGGCTTTGGGGTGGACTGACAGACAAGGTTAACTTTGGGTTTGGAGGCCTTATGCTGATAGAAGCCCCCTCAGACACTCCCTATCAACAATATAAATATTTTCCTTGTTAACTACACTGAAGGAGGATAATAAAAAAAATGATTTTGGTTGTTATGTTTTTGCACCATCATAGGCATTGAACATCCCAATGTGAGACATCTAATAAAGCTGAAATCTTTTTTCAAATATACAATGGAATAAAGATGTGTTTTTTCTGTGCCTGAGAATCAGAAATTGTTAGCACATTGTTTTCAATCTGCTTTAAAATATAAAATATTTATATTTGTGTTAGTAATATTTACAAAAGATTTGTCTTTGAGTGCTATCTGGTAGCTAATTTCTATATCATATACACTGTGCACACATGTTTCTTGTGAGATACATTT